CAGAGGAATGCTAGAGGCCATGGTGACTGAGCATCTGGGTTCTCGCTCATCATACAGGGAGTGGAGACAGGCCCCGAGGAAGGCACTCACTGCTGAGTCTCTTACAGGTCCACAGCTTGGCGATAATATCCAGGTAGGACACCTGACTCCAAGGGCTAGCTAGTAAGGAGTTCAAAGAAGAAGGGGGCCACATGGATCCAAGAAGAGTAAGTACAGACCCACTGTTCTTTCTTAAGTGCTACTGGAGGCAGGGGTTTGGGAAGGTAGAGAGAGAGTCCCAGCGTTCAGGGAGGCTGAGATGTGAACTTTAAGATGGCATCATTACAACCTAAAGACAGGTGCAGGTTATGGGTTGCAACAATGGGGCCACGTGAGAGGAGCAAAAACACTCGCACTTAAGCCTAGCCAACCTTGGACATACCATGCCATTCATTCTCAGCTCTGCTCTCCTGCATGTAAAAATACATGGAAAAATGGCACCCTGCTCTTCATGGAGGGTGGGCCCCAGAAGTGCCCACTAGACCAATAGTATAAATCCCAACTCGAGGCAAAATGGCCCCCTTGACCTTTTTAATGGTCTAATAAGCAGATCTCCCTTGAGAAGGGCCTCTTGCTTTCATGGCTGTTCTTTTTCCTGCATGATAGTTTTACCTTTGCTAATATGCAATGGTAAAAAAATAGAAAGAAAAAAGAAAAAAAGCCATCCTATGAAATAGAAGATACTTTGAAAGTGCTAAGAGTGCTCGGTTCTCTGGCAAGCCTTGGCCAACAGTGAGGCTTTAGAATAAAATTAGGAACTGTATGAAGGATGAATGGGTCCAGTCTGTCTCCTGCAGAGCTCAGCAATGTGGATGGGGCCAGAGTCGTCCCTTGGTTCCTAAGCTTTAATAGAGCGTCTTTCATTCAAAGCTCCCAGGACACTTCATAGCTGCTAAAATGATCCTAAGCAAATATTTGGAGATACACACTACAGGTGGGAATATGGAGGCACCGAGAAGAAAAAGAACTGACCAAAGACCCGAAGAGTCAACTGTGGAGGTAGGACCAGAATCCAGGACCTGAGCCAATTCAGAGCTCCTGTTGGCAAGATCAAGCCTGGAAGAGAGCACTGGGCCTTCATGACTGAGATGAGTTATAATCACACAAATTGGGGGGTCCACAGCCACAGCCAGTTGTGAGCCAGCTGCGTCCTAATCCAATGCCGCCCTGGCACGTGTGCATGGAGGCTGGGTGACCTGCAGGTCTAAGTGGTTAGGACTTGACTAATTCAAACTCTCTAATGAGATTGACGGTGTCTGTTAGAGTGAGCATATGCAGCGAGATGTGTGCTGTGTTGCTGACAAATTCACTTCATAGCTTCAATTAAACCCATTTCCTGTGTCCTGGGGCCAAAAAGGCCAATATACAAAATGACCACACGGCCATATTGCCAAGATAAGGGTGAACACGGTACAATTCACCTGTGCACACTGCAGGCTGGAGTCTGAGTCGGGAGGCCACAGTGAAGACTAAAGAGTGCTATGGTCTGAATGTTTGTTTCTCCCCCCACCCCAAAATGCATACGTTGAAATCCTAACCCTCAAAGCCAATGGTATTAGGAGGTGGGGCCTTCGGGGTGATTAGGTCCTGAGGATGGAGCGCTCATGAATGGGATTAGTGTTCTTATGAAAGGGCCCTGGGAGAGCTCCTCAGCTCCTTCTGTCATGTGAGGCTACAACAGGAAGTCCGCGGTCTGGAAGAGGGCCCTCACCCCATCATGCTGGCACCCTGATCTTGGACTTCCAGCCTCCAGAACTGTAAGCAGTAAATTTCTGTCCTTTATAAGCCACCCAGTCTGTAATATTTTGTTATAGCAGCCCAAAGGGACTAAGATGAAGAATATACTTTGATATGGTCCCCTAGGGTGGACACTGCCTCATTCTCGCCACTGTTGACCTTGAAATAAACAAAACTTGAACACAATGTAGAGTCATGACTTGGGGTACTCCAACCTCCTTCTCTCAATTGGCCGCACTGGAGATGAGTAGCTGAATGGCAGACAAGGAAGGAAAGATTTGGGAGCAAAATAAGACACATTGAAAATAAGAAGAGCTTCAAGATTGACGATGGGCTACCATCAATAGCACTTCTCTACCCATTTGGTCCACGGAGATTGGTTTGTCCTGGGGCTTCTCCCAGGGGTCGGATCTCAGCTGAGATCTCCCTAAATAACAGGATCTCAGTGGAGCTTCAGAGCCCATAAGAAGTCCAGCATGGCTGTGGGAGGTCAGGGGCCATTTTAGCATTACGGAGAGGTGGTTACGAATTTGAATTCGTACTTCTTTTACTAGCCGTGGGATCTTGGCCAAGTCACTACATCTCTTTGTGCCTTCTGGGCACAAATATTATGTATTGGACAGGGTTGTGAAGGCAAGAAGTTGATAGAGTGAAGCACTTAGAACAGAGCTTGCTCTGCGGTAAGAACTCAATAAATGTCCGCCATTATTATTACCGTTACATAGCAAACTCAAAGTACCCCAGAGCTCATTAGATTTCTGGTTACTCTTCCATGCAGATCCAATTCACTCTTGGGTCCAATTTAACTTTGGAGTTACATGTAAGACTTATTTTCCGGGGTGCCTGGGTGGCTCAGTTGGTTAAGCGTTAATCAATCAACTCTTGATTTCAGCTCAGGTCATGATGTCAGGTTCGTGAGATCAAGCCCTGTGTCAGGATCCACACTCAGCGGGGAGTCTGCTTGAGATTCTTTCCCCCCACCTTCTGTCTCTGTCTCCCTCTGCCCCTCCCCCCGCTTGTGCTCTCTCTCGCTCTCTCGCTTTCTAAAATAAATAAATAAAATCTTTAAAAAAAGACTTACTTTCCAAATTTAAGGGCTTTGACCAAAAGACCACCTTTGTTGGCAGGTGGGAAAGGAAGCCAGGCTGTGCTGAGGAGCACCCTCATCACTGACATTTTGCTCAGCATCAGCCAAGGCTAGCCCTGGGTAAAACTGAGAGACAGGCCAAATCGGCTTACATGGAGCAGCCCCCTTCTAGCACCCCATCATGCTGGGGCCACCCAGGATCCATGACCCCAGAAGCCCCAAGGGCAGGGACATCGGTGGCAGCCACCCACCAGCAATCAGTCAGCAGGCTTACAGTGGGCTGGGGAGCGAGGACCAGCTCAGAGGGGTTACCCATCGCTTGGGGCTGGTGAGAGGAATGGGGGAGAGAATTAGAGCAGAAGGGGGTGGACCTCAGTGCTAGGATTTGTCTGAGCAGGTCTTGGGCAACCAAAAAGCATTTGTGTACTGGAAAGAGCCACCCAAATGTGCAGGGGTGTTATTATATCATTGTTACTAGTTGTCATTCAAAAGCCAGTTGTTAGCATCTACGTAACAGGCAATGGAGTGAAGGAAGCCAAAGGGATCTGGGTTTGCACCACCTCTGTACCTGACACAGGACTGTGGCCTTGCAGAGCCTCACTCGCCGCCGCCGCCGCCCCCTCCCCCTCCCGTGAGGTCCCAAAGAGCAGGGTCTTTGACGGACTGAGAGTGACAATGTGAATTGCCTGGCTCATAGCAGACAGAGTCAACCCGGGTGACTTTTCCCTTCTCTCCGGTGAAGACAGGCTACTTTTTTTTCCACATGGAAATGGAACTTCATAAAACCAGAAAGCAAGACGGCTGCCCCAGGGAAGGTTTTACGAGTGAGTTATTTTCATAGCATCTTTTCTCTCCTCAAAGATCATGCAGAGAGGGAATATCCATTTCAGTGTGGTTCAGGCTTCGGCAGCAGTTGCTCACAAAGGGTGGGGTTAGGGAATGTTTCCAGTATGCGGAGCTCTTTTGCTGACCTGGGTCCTGTCTCTGCAGACTCTGCCCCGCGGGAGCCTCCAGGTGTGTGTGCTGAGAGGGCAGAAGAAGCTTGCCGAGGAGGCCAAGGGCTCCTGGAGACTCCGGGCCAGGCTTGGTGCGTGGGCTGGAACGCTCCCGCAGCTGTCAGAGCCCACAGAAGACACCCCCCGCCAGGCCACGGAGCGCAGAGGGGTGTCCTGGTGCTGTGGGAGCCTTCCACTTGAGTCCGCTGGATGTGGCCAGCACTCCTCGTAGCTTTTCATGGTCCCTTTCCTTGGGCAGCTTCCAAGCCTCCAGCTGGGCTGAGTCCAGGAGCTGAGCAGCTCTGTTTGCGAAATCTCCTACCCACGGGAGGCCAAGGCCAGGCATCTGCCCGTACGGGGATGGGAGTCTGTGGAGGTGGCGTGGATTTATTATTCCACGACCCATGTGATTGGCACATCTCTCTGCCCTGACCTTACTCCCTCCTATATGTCAGTTGTAACCACACCACCACCTCATGGACGGACCGACTCATTACAGTTGGCATTGGTTTTGTTTCTTTTCTCAGTTAGTCCTCTTCTCTGGGAAAATGAGCGCTCCTGACATCCACTTCCTCCTTTCTAGGCCTGTGGGGATGCCAGAAAGGAAGCACAGCCCGAGAGAGAAATATCCTTGGGGAGCGCGAGCAGCTGAGGCCCATAGTCCCAGAGATTCTGTGTGCATATAAATATACATATAGGGCTCTTGGGTGGCTCAGTTGGTTAAGCGACTGCCTTCGGCTCAGGTCATGATCCTGGAGTCCCGGGATCGAGTCCCACGTCGGGCTCCCTGCTCAGCAGGGAGTCTGCTTCTCTCTCTGACCCTCCCCCCTCTCATGCTCTCTATCTCATGCTCTCTCTCAAATAAATAAATAAAATCTTTAAAAATAAATAAATAAATAAATAAATAAATAAATATACATATAGAGGTTTATTCTCATATATGAAATAGGTATGAGATAGGAGATATATGTATATACATACATACGAGATTTGTGTCGTGTGTGTGTATGAACTCCAGCCAATCTGTATTCAACACATCTCTTTTTATTTAAAGTAAATAAAATATTTAACTAGAGATTTAAATAAGAAGATATGTATCGGAATATGTAATATAAATATTGCATATTTATGCCTGGGCCATCCTCTAGGTCAACCTGGAGATGCTCCTTTCTGTCTTTCACATAATCCTCAGGCTTCATACTTTATGATTTCTGTTCCACCCCAATGCATATTCTAACTTGATCTCACCGGGATAAAGATCACACAGCCTGGGCCTCAGGATGCATGTCAGTGAAAAAGGCTAGTGGTGGGTGTTAGTAACAGACCCAAAACACCTAGCCCAGGCTTGGCCCAGGAGGCACTGACCAATGCTGTGGGTGGATGTGGGGCTGGTGATGATGAGGTAACATTGGCTTCTGGGGAACTGCAGATGTAGAGGACTCCATGTGCCCAAGGTCAATGACATTCAGGAAGACCCCATAGCTCTTGCCCTCCAGGGGCACCCTCCTGCCCCGCAGTTAGGTGAATGAGTTAACTAATCAGAGCCCGGGAGCTTGATTCCCGAGTGTTTCTACTCCTGGTGGCCCTTCGGCATTGTGAAAACACATAGAAGATGGAGAGGCAAAGCCGTATTTGAAGTCTGGTTATCGCACAAAGAATCGAGTGATCCGCGGGTGATGCGCCCTCTCTGTGTTTCTGGATGTCTAATCAGAATGCTCCCCCTTGAGGTCCCTGGTAGGTGGGATAGGTTGCAGACTCCTTAAGCAGCATTTTATTATGACAGTGAGAACAAACCACAAAGGCTCCCATTTCATTCACTCTCCTCTCCCACCAGGGTGCTTGGAGCAGGGCTCAGGAGGAAGGATACAACAGGAGAAGCTCCATTAGCTTCCAGTCCTCTCTCCTTGGTTAGAGGTGACAAGTTACCGGGCCAGACACCTGGTGCAATCAGCTAACCAGCCCAGGGCAGCATGAATCAGTGTGCTATACCTCAGAACACAAACACGGGAGCCCAAAGGTGTGGGTTCCTGCCACTCTGACATGCATGAACTTGTCTAAGGCTAAGACTCTATCTACCCTGACTCAGTTTCCTCACCTGTCAAGTGAGAGGTTGATCTTAACGACCCCTAAGCTCCCTTTCATGGTTAACATCCTCTAATCCTCAATTTTAAAAATATAGAAAGTTTGCATTTAACCGAGGATAATGCCCAACGTACTAGAGTTGTTAAAACAACAGAAAATCAAGTGTTTATGTTTGATTCAGAAATTCAGATTGACCATCCTATGAGTCATATCAAAATATTGATGGTTTTGTAGAGAACTACGTGGGTCTGGGGCGACAAATAATGAATGTTCCCGGTAGTTTGCTTTCTGTGACCACGAACAGTAGCCAGCCCAGAGAGGATGAAGCACGGGCCAGAGAGATAAGGAGTCGCTCACCGACTTGACAGTGAGCTATTCAGGGCCCGCACCCAGCCTTTACCCTGGAGCGTGGACTTCTCGAATTTCCTGTGGATTCCACTCCCACGGCTTAAGATACGAATTCTCGTTCAGCAAGTCTGGGTGGAGCCCAAGCTTCTGCATTCCTAACATGCTCCGGGGAATCCAGGGACATGTATGCGCAGCAAAATAGCTGTCCTCCGGGATTTTCTCCTGGGTGTTGGATGAGGGGGTCCCGATTTGCAACGCGGTCGTGGTTCAGAGGATGGGGACCACGTCTGAGGATGGGTGGAGGGGGGAGCATAGCTTCCTTAGAAGAGGAGGGTGAAGCCAGTCTGAGAATAGACTGTAGCTGGGGTTAAAATGCTGGTGGATGATTCGAAGTAACTGCGAGGGGAAAGCGAGGGAGAGAAAGGGAGTTTAGAGGTGCAGGCACTGAGTGTTACAGGGGGAGCCGTGTTGTTCAAATGCCATCCTGGCTGAGACCCTAAGCCCCGCAGCTCAAGGCTCTGGCCTTTCTGTCCTTTGAACTGAGGTTTGCCTTTGACTTTAATGGAACAATTTTCTTCTGGTGCTACAGCAGCCGGATTGCAATGTGAACTGATCTTTTTCCATTTCGGGTCCCAAACCACAGCACAGGTAGTTTCTAAATAAATGTCGGTGGCTTCTGGGGGAGGCTCCGACTGCGAGGCTGGAATAAAAGTGGACACAGTCACAAAGAGCGTCTACGTCGGCTGTTCCCCTGAAAGGGCCCGGGGTTCTGATCGCTCCCAATGCCCTCAGCCACCCTGGATTTCCCGGGGGCTGTCGACGCCCATGAGCCTTCGTGACGCGTTTTTGACGCAAAGTAGTTTTAAAGACAGAAAGAAGGTGGAGTTTGTTTTGAAGGTTGACCTGTTTTTTGTTGTTGTTTTGTTTTTTAAGATTTTATTTATTTATTTGAGGCGTGGGTAGGGGCAGAGGGGAAAAGAATCTCAAGCCGACTCCGAGCCCAGCAGAGAGTCCCACACAGGGCAAGACTGCTTAGGTTGGGTCTGAGCAGTGGCCCTGCTGAGGACAAATATCTGAATGAGGGCCCTCACTGCTGGAGGGAGCCCCATACTCATAGGGAGAGGCGGCTCTGGGAGAATCTAGGTCCATTCTCTGTGGCCCTCAGTAAATCCAGTTTCTGGATTCCTAGCTGGCTCCTCAAAGGGCATGTGGACAAGATGGGGTGTCACCAACAGCCACACAAAGCGCACCCAGGAATCTGGAGCCAAGGCTGACCTTATGTCCAAGTAGAAAAGACTTTGTCATCATTTGAAGGCACCTGCCTAAGAGGTCTCCCAGCGGACACAGGCCTTGGAAGATCAGGATCGGATATTCATTTCTTTGGGTTCACCATTCGCCCTCCAACCCAGCTGTTTCTAAGACATAAGTACCTGTGGGAGACCTGCTCAGAAACACACTAATTTACCAGTGGCTCTAGATTTATCAAAACATGAAATAGTGAACACACAATGAGTGTCCCTCATGCCAAGAACTGTATTGTGCTGAGTACCTTACGTGTATTGGATCATTAAATTATCATGGCAACCCTACTATGTAGGATATTGAAATCCCCACTTTACAGATGGGTAAACTTGAGTCTGGAGGTGTGAAATAACTTGCTCAAGGTCACACAAAGTCAGTTATGCTTGGTCTCAAGCCCAGGCTGCTAGCCCAAACTCCTACTGCTTTTCAAAGGGCCGCTCTGCCTCCTCAAAGGCATGAGCGCTTATGAGGGTGCTAGTTATGAGGGGTTGGGGGAGGGAAAACAAAGAGAAGGACAGCTGCCGAAGAGCAGCTTCACCATTTCTTCCACACATGGGTCCCCTGTGGGATGCACAAGGGCTGTTTAAAGCGAAGTGGTTCAGAAATGCCATGGTAGCTGACTGCATTAGCTAAAGCAAGCCCCCAGGGACCTGGTAATTGTTTCCTGCATACCTTACACATCCCCTTGGATCTTTGCACCGGAACCAGAATGTGATTGTACCCTACTGCGCTTTGCTGAGCCTTTCCCAGGTGTCCTGGCCAGCCACCACTATGAGGTTTTGCACCCCAAGGGTTAAACTCTCAGCTGAAGGGGTAGCAGAGAGTCCATTTTGGTGAGAACATGCGGAGGCCAAATGCACCCTTCCAGAGCCTCCTGCTTCTGTTCTTTTGCTCATTTTGATTTAAACCTTCTGTCCATGTCAGGCTCTTTCCCATTCATAATTATTTGTGTGATGGGTACAATGTTATTATTCTATTATGACCATGGCCAAATCACTATTTCGGTTGATATTGCTTATAAACTATTACATCAGCTGCTTTGCAATTCCATAGTAATGCCTTTCCCCAAGTCCCTCCAGAATTTAAGAGGAAAAAAAAAAAAAGCCCGGCAAGATTTCAGTCCAGAACCTGCCAGCACCAGGCTGTTGGTTTGACTTCCTGCCTCAGTGGTATTTCCCAGAGTTGCAAGTTATTTAATGCTTACATGGCGACATCTGATCTTTCTTTCTATTGTCCCCCATTGGCCACTGAAGCGCTCTCATTCAAACACAGCTCCTGTGGAAGCAAAGAGAAGGCAGTTTCACTGCAGGGCACCCCACAGCTGTGCTTTCTAGTATTTGCCCAAATGGCTTCCTACGGGAACAGCGATCACGGTAGCTCTCTGTCTTGAGTAAGCAAACTTCATTTTAACCACAAATGGCTCCGAGAGCTGTGGTCCTGTAAGTTATTCCAGCATAGTACTGAGATACTCTTTTCTCAGCCTGGGCATCCTGGGGTGGGAGTGCGCACTCACCAGCGTGGATTCCTGGCAGTTTTGCGGTCAAGGCCAGGGGGATGCTGTTCCCGAGAAAGGCTGCGAATGCAGTCCGTCGTGCCATTTAGAAAGTAGGCCTCGGCTCTCCAGGCGGACAGTGACACGCAGTGATTCCTGGCAAACTAGACTCTGCAGGTGGATCTGGGTCCCTGGCCTACTGTTATTCTGTCCTTGATCTGGAGCGTAGCCGTTTGATCTATCAAGGTCATTACCAGGTCTTTGGAGGCCCCTGTTGAAAAATCCTGTGCTTTGGGGTGTGTAGGGAGGGCAGAAGTAGTCTATCCCTCTGGGAGAAAGCCGCTCACAGGCCTGGCTCTGTAGCGACATGCCTGTGTTGATGTGTAGAGTGTCCCTGGTTCTATCCCCACCCACATATGGCCTTTTGACCGCTTACAGCAGAGCGATTCAGGGGGAATCGCCAGGAAAGAGACCAGGGAAGGAACCAGCCCACCCATACCGGGTTCCTGGGACCTCCTGAGTGTCCACTGCCTGAAAGGGAATAATTGGGAAGGGCGAAAAGGACAACGAGTGGTAAAAAGAGGCTGATCCCAGCTAAGTAAGCCAATGATGCTAAAGGTCTGACCCGTCCATTTGGGGCCCACAATTGGCACTGGGTCGCAGTGGCAGATGGTGTCCAAGGGGACTGTGCTGTGTTTGGCTCTCACTCAAGGGAGCGCCAGGTTTGGTGAGTCACTCGGTCCTCCAGGGGCCATATCATGCGCGGCATGTTTCCCTGGGTGGTAAGATTTATGCCAACTGATGATATCACAACCCAAGAGTTGTTAAAAGACCATGATGTCAAGCTGTTAGCGGCCACACTCCCATTGTCCAATCCCACGAAAAGCCTCTGTTTTCACACATGGAAACTCAAGGGTGTCCACAGATGTGGTTCTCACTGTGTGGTTCACAGACAAGCGGTGGCGTGGAAGGATTCTCCAGGTGCCCACAGACTGATCGCTCATAGAATCGTGAGACTCGCTCATCATTTTGCACCATCAAAATCCTTCCTACTCCAGTGTCGTCCCCACCGACATAGACCTCTGACTTGAAAAGGCTCCTGTTAAAAACAAAAACAAAACAAAAAATTTCCTTGACCTTCTCTTCCCACCTGACTATGGCTCATCTCTCTGTTTCCCCTTAATGTGAAATTCCTCACAAAAAGCTGTATTACCACCATCTTTATTTTCTCTCTTCCAGTCCTCTCCTCTCCCAGGTGGCTTTTTCAGTCCCACCTCGATGAGAGTGGGATCGTGGACTTCCTCTTACTTAATCCAGAAGTCAGTTCTCTGATCCATCTTACAGAAAACCCCAGCCTCTATTGTCACCGTGGGCTCCTCCCTCCTTTTTCGAACTTTATCTTCTCTAGGGCCCCCTGATGCCACCTTTTCTGTTTTCCTCTGACCACATTACTGCTTTTCCCATTCTCTTCTACTCACCCTCTTAATGTGAGATTCCCCAGGATTCAATCTCCGGATCTCTTCTCTTCTCTTCCCTTCCCTTTGCTCCTCTCCTCTCATCCCCCACCCCAACGCACCCCATTCTTTTCTCCACGTTCTATCCAATGACCTCTTGCGGTCTCATACCATCTATGGATTCATGACTCCCAAATCTATCTTTCTAGTCCTTATCTTTCCCCTAAGGAAACTGACGATATGACATCTCTGCCTGGATGTCCAATAGACATCTCAAATTTAAATGTCCAAAAGTAAACACTTGGTGTCTTTCCAAAGCCTATTTCTTCCCTCCCGGGGCTCCTTTGTGAGGCAAATGGCACCATCACCTACCCAGTTGCTTGCATCCAAATCTTGAAAATCATTTGTCTTTGACTCTTTTTAAAAAAGGACCCCACATTCGGTCAGCCAGTCCTAGTGGCTCTAATTTCAGTATAAATCCCAGAATCTGGCTACATCTCACTGCCTCTGCTGCGGCAGCTCTGATCTAAGTTCTTATCTCCCGCCTAGCCCACAGTGAGAACCCCTATCCCACCTCCAGACTTTTCCACACTTGTCCTCCTATAATGCATTCTCCACCTGACAGGCAAAATAATCTCTTAAAAGTGGAAATCAACCATATCGTTTTCTTTCTTAAATCTTGCTAAGGGTTTCTTTCTTTCTTTTTTTTTTTTTATTTTATTATGTTATGTTAATCACCATACATTACATCATTAGTTTTTGATGTAGTGTTCCATGATTCATTGTTTGCATATAACACCCAGTGCTCCATTCAGTACATGCTCTCTTTAATACCCATCACCAGGCTAACACATCCTCCCACCCCCCTCCCCTCTAGAACCCTCAGTTTGTTTCTCAGTTTCCATAGTCTCTCATGGTTCGTCTCCCCCACTGATTTCCCCCCCTTCATTTTTCCTTTCCTACTATCTTCTTTTTTTTTTTTCTAATCACATTTAAGCCACCTGCCCTGTATGTAAGACCCGACGTGATCTGACCCCTGTGCTCCTTGCCGCCCAGCTCAGCTCAGTCACTACACTCATTCACACTAGCCTTCCTTCAGCCCTCAGACAGCCCTGGCTTATTGTCGCCTCAGGGTCTTTGCACTTGCTGTTCCTTCTGTCCAGCATTCTTTTCCCCCCAGACTTCACATAATTAGTCTCAGTTTCAGCATCACCTCTGAAGACAGACCTTCTCTGACCACACAGTTTAAAGCAGCTCCTAAACTCAGCCCTTCTCTCTCTCCTTACACTGTTTGTTTTCCACCCATCAATGAACATTCTCTACTTGAAATTATCTTTTTATTTGTTCATGGTTTATTTTTATCTCCCACTAGACCACATGACAGCAATCTTGCCTGTCTTGTTCACTGCTATTTCCCTAACTTATACTCATGCCTACCTCATATTGTGTGCTCAATAAATATTTATTGTCTGAGTAAACGCTCCCATTATAATAAGTTCTATATGGTGTTTCTGCTTCTGGTGTGAAGCAACGTCGTTTCCAAAAGCATGGGAGAATGACCTAGATATATTTTTTAATAATTCAGAGATTCTTGGGCCCCATACCAGGCTTTATTGATGTGCCACTGAAAGTATCCTGATCTTTTCATTCACTCTGCTGAAAAGTCTTGAAGTGGCAAAAGTAGAGGACAGGAGGTTAGCATTCAGGCTAATGGAATTTGGGTTGAGTGGTCTTGTGAGTCCTTTGTTTCAAGGGGGTACAAATGTTTGAAACCATTGGATTGCAGTTGGGTGTGGAGGTGGAGAGGAGATGAGAAGCTGAACCCTGTGCCATGAGCCTACCTGACTGTTGAAAGCCAAGGTCCAGTTTTACCCACTTTGGTGGCTAAGTGATTCTATGAATTACCAGGGCATCTATTAGTTCAAGAAAAACTCTTCCCTTCCCATGTCCTTGAGCTTCATGATCTAGAACTCTGCTGTCCAATCCAGTAACCATGATTTAAATTTGAATTAATGAAAATTAAGGCATTTCCTTTGAATTAAATTTACTACAATGAAGATGAAATAAAATGAAGCATTTCATCCGTAAGTCTCACTAGCCACATTTCAGGTACTCACTGACCACATGAGAGAGGGACTGCTGTATTGCAGTGTACTTTCATCATGGCAGAAAGTTCTGCGGGGCAAAGCTGGTCTAGAAAGTGGGCTCCTGGGACAGTTAGGGCATCCACCTGCTTACTTCCTTAAGTGCCAGTCTAGTCAGTCCTATGTGGAACTGAGCTTCACCCTGGTTAAGCAATGGGTCTCATGAGGCCTGGGAATTTCATCGGAGCAGGTTAAGAAGCTGAGGAAAACAGCTTGTAAAACCCTTTGCCAGCAGACCTGCCCACACACAGAGGAGATGCGCATTTTCACCGAGGCTACCATGGTTGCCTCAGACACGTGGGGAAAAGCACATTTCTGGGGGTAGGGAATGCACTTCTCGTAGCTTGTTCTCCTTGAACCCTGGGTCCAAGGTCACTCGAGGGAAAATCGTCAGAATTTGTTATATGACTGTTTCTTGGGGTTACCTTCTCTATCCCCAGGGAGATTATCCGTCACTTTAAGGCGGGGAAATAACTTATGCTCTTGTATTATCCCCCCACAGCATTTCACATTCAGATGATAAACACTAGCACTTAGTCTAACTTGCATTATAATTAGTTCTGTACATGCTTCTCTTTGTTTGCTCATGAGCTTCTCAAGGGCAAGGCTAATATCTTATTCCCTTTGCTGCAGCATTATTATGCAGGATGTGTAATTGTTTTTTATATATATTCATTAGATTCAGTGGATAGGAGGATGGATGGATAGGTGGATGGATGAATGGATGGGTGGATGGATAGATGGTCAGAGGGACAGACAGACTCAGACCCACACTGATAGAAAATCCCATGTTTCAGTGATAACCTTTCTGGCAATCTATCATTTCTCATCTCAGGATTTCAGAGGAATTAAGCATTTTCTCTGAAGATGAGGAGACGTACCTTCCAAGTCAACAGTGGATAAATGAGGGAAATCTTTTCCAATGTCATCAGAGTTTTCTCCTGGGATTTCATCAGAAAATCCATTTCCTTTTTCTTCTCTCTAGAAGCAAGCCCAGCCAGGGAAAGAACAAATCAGGCTTAAAAGGAAAACAGAGCAATAGGAAAATGTCATAAGAAATTGTGTACGTGCCATGTGAAACACACAGATTCCCAGTGCATTTTGTGTTACTCTTTTGAAATCCCAATCTCGAATGTGTATTATAGACTATTGAATATTCTGTCCCCACATTCTTGTCTCTGGGGGAGAGGAGAATGAGACTGCATGTAGCACAGCAGAAAGCACGTGAGATCACAAAACCAGGCACAGGTCTGCTCTTAGCCCCCCAGCTGAGGAGGCAAGTTCATTGGGGGCACATTAATTATCTCCCAGGTGTCCGTTCATGTCCACAAGGTTGGGACACTAACGGGAAATCCAATAATGCTTATTCGGAACAACACGAGCCAGCCCTCCCTAGCATATGGCTTCGGGTGTTGGTTGCTTTTCAGTTTTATAAATCTTCTCTGATTATTAAAAAAATTCACTTTCATTATGGAAATATGGAAAGGTACACAGGAATTATAGAAAGGTATAGAGAAAACTAAAAATGCTGGAGCCCTGCTACCCTGAGTTAACTGTTGCTTTTATTTCCTTCTTGTCCATACTTCTCTACAAATATATAGAGCTGTGTCTTTTCGGGGATAATTGAATCATATCGCTCACACTTTGTTTGATTTTTATATTTAACAACACATTATTAAAAGTATATCCCCATGCCATTAAATATTTTTCAATGCAAAATGGTATATAGTAAAAAAAAAAAAAAAATCCTCCTCCTCTCCCTCCAAATGTATAGGCTACAACTTAATGTGCTATTTGGGAGGGAATTTATTGTTTTAAGTTCCTATATTAAGAAAGAAGGCTAAAAATTAGTGGCTTAAACATCTAACTTAAGAGGTTAAAAGGGGACTAACAAAATTAACAGAGTTCCGAACAGGAAATTAAACTAAAGTAATCTACAACAGAAATGCTTTTAGATTTGTCTCTTGTGGGTTTTTTGTTTTTTTTTTTTTTCATTCTGTGCTTGGAATCTTTTGATCCTTCTGTTTTAGATGTGTTACCTGTTGAAAGAGTGTTTAACTAGATATTTTAAATCCAGTCTGTCATTTTTGACTTTGACTGAGGCATTTAGCAGGTCTTTAGGTAAAGGAATCACTGAAATATTTTATCTTTTTATCTTATTTTGTGTTCTGTAACTGTCTCCAGATCTCTTCTCGATTTTTGCCTTCTTTGAGACTGACTTCCTTTTATTTATTCCTACCGCTTTGGAAGTCATAAATGTAATTCTCTTCTAGAGCTTCTCCAGGACTGTTAACAAGCATACTTCACTTACCATATGCTAAATTTAATTAATAAGTTTCCTTCCTTCTGCACATTCTAGTGGCCTTAGGACACTTTAATTCTGTTACCCCTTCTGATTTCTCTGCTACTGGTCCTGCATATTTCATTTGTGTTGCCATTGTTTTGTAAAGTCCACACTTTTTGGATTTACTCATACATTTGCCACTTTCTTGGCTCATTGTGCCATTTTTCATCTCAATATTTATACACAACTTGACTTGCCTCTGCTTCAAACAAGCCCTTAGAATTCCTTTTAAATCACAGTCTGTTTTTTCTTACCCCGAAGCGCCTTTACCTCACTCTTGTTTTTTGAACGGTATTTTCACTTCATGTGTGTTTTGAGGCTGGTAGCTACTTTCTCTCCTCCTATTAAAAATGTTTGCTCTGTCTTCCAACTCCCATGATTGCTATTAAGAAGTCAGTTGTAAGTTTGTCATTCCTTTGTAAGTAATCCATTTTCTCTGCCTGCTTTTTAGATGTTCCCTGGCTTTAGTGTTTTAGCCCTATCTGGTGTATGTTTCTTCTTTTCTTTCTTTTCTTTTCTCCTCTTTTGCAAAGCCTGCTTGGGTTCCTTGGATGTTTAAGTCTGAGGATTGAAGTCTTTTCTCAATTCTGATCATTTCTCTTTCTCTTTCTGCACTGTGAAATAGGTAAACTGCTGGTCTGTCTTCCAGTTGTCTAATTATTTCTTCAGCTGTGCCAAACTTCTCTTATACCCTCCATTGAGGCTTACAAAAATGGTTATAATATTTTTCATTTCTAGAAATTCTAGTTGGATATTTTTCAAAAAACGCTTGAAAATTTTTATAAATTTCTGTTCCTCGCTTATATTCTATGTAGCTTGTATGGGCTGAAATGTGTCTGCTCAAAATTAATCTATTGAAATCTTAACCCCCAGTGCCTCAGAACGTGACTGCATAAGAAATGGGGCCTTTAAAGAAATAATTAAGGTTAAATGAGATCATTGGGGTGGGTCCTAATCCAATATGACTGGTGCCCTTATCGGAAGAGATTAGGACACAGACATAACACAGTGGGAAGACCACGTGAAGACAGAGGAAAGATGACTATCTACAAGCCCAGGCAAGATGCCTCAGAAGAAATTAATCCTAGTGACGCCTTGATCTTGGACTTCTAGCCTCTAGAACTGTGAGCAAATAAATATCTGTTGTTGATGGCCCTAAAAAACTAACCTAGACCCTCAAGTTTTTTCCATAGTTTCAACTACTTGTTTTATATTCTTTGGCTGAATCCAATATCTGAAACCTCTTGGAAGCTGAATCTCCTGTCTTTTTTTTTCCCCCCCAGTGGTATTATGTTGGTATCTTTGTGAGTTCTGTGATCTGTGCTGATGATCAATGGAAATTCCCCCCCAGTGGTATTATGTTGGTATCTTTGTGAGTTCTGTGATCTGTGCTGATGATCAATGGAAATTCTTTGAGATGAATCTGAGAGGCTTCATTTTTCTTAGTATTATGAGCCTAGGGTTGCTGCCAAGCCAGTAGCCCTCCACTAATTCTCAACTTGAGCTTATTTCTTGGGACTACCCAGGTAGTGTGAATTGAGGTTGGAAAATTATATGATGGCCTTTGTGTTTATGAGTAATCAAGGCAGAGATTTTGTTCCCTTACCCAAGTTCTAAGATGGAAGAAAGGCGATATTCCTTGATGTTTAGTGTAGTGGTGGTAGGGGGGAAGAAGTTGGCATATATCTAATTCACGCCTACATTAAAGATACAACCCGTTAGGATCCCAGTTTTCTGTATGAAGATCTTCTACTAGAGTCCGTGCTTTATGAAATCCCTAGGTGTTTTCTTCTGTGGCCTGTCCACTGGAGCTTGAAAAATGCCCTCAGGATGAAAGTCAGATGTAGTGTTTCAAAGATAATTCTAGAAGGAGAAGTAATCTTTATCCCAGAGCCTCTGTCAGTTCTCCAGAAGGGTCAGGCTGGCCTGTGCCAGGAAAAGTTTAGTGTTGTTATTATCTCTATCTGCTGTCTTCATGGCCAGCTAGATGAACCTTGCCTCTTAAGAGAGCTAGGTCTAGAGGGAAACATTTTCTGGAAGTCAGTTGTGGATCTCCCAGTGATATGTGTAGAGTTCTTATCTGTGTGTTGACTGTCCTGTGTCTGAACTCTTGCTTCACCCGATCCCCAGGCTCTTTGGAGATCATGCATTCCCACCGCCATCTCTCTGATCACCTTTTCTCCTGTTTTCTACACCTTCCTTTGAAAAAGTAAATAGAAGAGCTATCTGTCTTGGAAGATATCCTGGTCCTCTTTCAGAAAGTGCTAGAAATAAAGGCGAAATTCAAAGGCATAACGTAACTCAAAGCTGTATAGAGGCAGGGCCAAAATGCTTGCATTTGCCTCATCCCTAAAGGAGAGCCTGCCAATGCTTATCTCAGGAGGATTTTCTGTTTCAAAAGCCAGACCCAGCATAGGAAGTGGATCTCTGGCCTGGAGGTATTTTGAAGCATTCTAACATAAGGCAGGTGGCTGAAAAGTGTCTACAAACTTACCTGGCACTGCCTTTGGCTTCCCTGAAAGCAGAGTTGGCCTCAATCTCCCAGCTGCTCAATGAGCACAGGCATGGCATCCAGCACAGGATGAGTGAGGCGTACAAGCTGATGAGCTAGTGGGCCAAAGCAAAACTCGGACTGAGACACTCTCTACTCCATCTGATTATTCTATGCTTTTATATAAAACTTCCAGTGTGCTTTATGATTAGTTCTTGATTCTGTTTCTTTGGAGTTCGGTCTTATCCAGGGAAGCCATAGGAACATCATGACCCAAAGGCCTATGGCCCCTCTTACGCAGGCTCATTGCTGACCAAAGCCATTTGTGTAGGTTTAAAAAAGAGACCGGACGATGCGCACATTGACATACATAATGGCCTTCCTCATGAACTCTTGTTGCCAGACCGCCTTAGACAGCCCCAGGTAATCACAGGAGACACTAAGCACATTTTCAAATTCAAAGTCAAGTCTACAAAGGGCTAGAGTCTGGGTATTCTCCTTGGACAAGAGCAGAAGTCAGCCATCCCCCTTTTATTACCAACCCCACGTGCCCCGTGTTTTCAACAGAATAAATCAGGCCAATCAACTCTACTTGTTTAATGGAAAGTCAAAGGCATAGAGGGTGAATATTACTTAGGATATGAAAGATCAGCTAGTACTCAGGAAATGTGTCAGCTGAGAGAATTCTTTTTGTCTTCATGAAAGTGGTCACTTGGAAATCAAGCTTAAGTTGTATATGAGCCTCATGAGTCTAGAAAAGTTTTCAAGTACTCTTCAATAAATTAAGTACTGATACATCTGATAACAGATGGTGGGATAAAATGCTGTGTGTCTCTTTCCGTTTCTGGAACACACCCAAAATAATGTCTACAAATCCCAAACCATTCTGAAGGATACCTGGAACTGAGTAGCAAGAGCAAAGACTACTGACAATCAGACGAGTGCCTGGCACTCAGCAAATATTGACTCTCCAGATCCAAAGCAGGATGCTACCGTCTCTGAGAGGAAGTGAAAGAACTCTATAAAACCCAACCAACAGTGCCATTAAATTTAATTAAATTTAAATTCCTGGAGAGAACGCAGAAGAAAGAAAGCGCATTTCTATAGTGGTGTTCTAAAGTTTGCCACGTCAGAGTGGCAGGGCTGTG